TGGAAAATATAAAAAAAAAAAACCAAAAAAAAAAAAACACTAATATTAGGAAGTCTGCGATTAGTAACTTCGAATCTAAAAAGTAAGAAATTAAATTACAGTTGAAATAATTATTTATACATTTAAAAAGAAATACAAGTCAAGGTTTTTCATCTGGCAAAGGGATGGATTTTAGATTAATACTATTAAGAAAATGTATAGTAGGGCCTACCTTCATGGATACACCAATACTCTACTCATAAAATTAGAGACGTCCGCCTATACTTTATGTAAGTACAGAGAAAACTGTAGGCCCATGATAAAATACTTTTTTGTTACTAGTTAACTAAAACTTAATTATAAGACACATACGGGGTGCGCTCAGTTTTTTAGTCATGAAAAATATAGTCTGGTTTTGGCATGAATTTCTAACCCCTGGACTAGAAGCCAAACAAATAACCAAGTGATAGCTCCAAAATTTGCATCCCATTTAAACCACGCGGTCTTTAATTCTGTTTAGCACTCAAAACATTCACACTAATTTTAGGTACTCTGTACGTCTTTTGACAATTTTGGGCAAGCAGAAACTTTGCCAAAGTGCTGTAACAATAAAATGTAAGACTGGCAACAACTAGGTTCGTTCGTTCTGATCAACCTGACTGGTTTGGTAAGCAGGTCTAGTCCACATCCGTAACGTCTCTCCGTTTGTGGTTCACGTCCCAATGTTTCCAACTTGTGGCTTTTGCAAACATGGTGAAACCAACAATTGGTCCGCACACACATGTTCATTGTGCACGAACGCTTGTGTCAAGGGTTAACTGTCTCCATTTTTGTGTAGGCCTTAGATTTTTTCCCATTCGTAAATGCTACAGAGCGACCACAAAAGAGTAATTACTGCAGTAATTCTCGGTAATATGAGATTCAAATAGGGAGGTTTTGCAATCTTACGAACACGATAACCAATTCGGTTACGTCCTCGTGTGTTTAGTCAATCCAATTCGATCCATAACTAAATATATCAATGATCGTAAATGACGATAATAAAGATGACGTATTCGTATTCATTTTGGTAAAAGTGCGAAATATTCCCTTTTTACGACAAGGCAGTCCCATATGGTCTAGTGGCTAGTGGCAAAAACAAAGAAAGCTCTTTTGAAGCTTTCAGCCCATTGTTAAGTGTAGCTCAAGTATAGCCGCCGCGGCCCGGGTTCGATTCCCGGTGTGGGAAGCATTTTTTTTTTTTTTTTTAGATCGTTGTTGGAAATATAACAGGTTTGGAATTCAGCGCTCTCACCGCCCCGGCATGGGTTTTTATTTATCAAAATTAACAGATTATGTTATGCTGTGGTCGATGAACATTGTAAAAATATAGGCCTTATGAATAATTTAGGCCATACGATATGATGATTTGATTTTTACGATGTAATATACAAGAACACATGCTATAACATTAGGCAACATATCATTCTACAGTATAAAATAAAACAATAAAACAGTATAAGATAACCTATATTTAATATAATCCTATATAACACAATAAATAAAATATAGGCCTACTATCCTGTAGTATTACTATAATAATAACATAATATAATACATTATGCCGTGGTCGATGAACATTGTAAAAATATAGGCCTTATGAATAATTTAGGCCATACGATATGATGATTTGATTTTTACGATGTAATATACAAGAACACATGCTATAACATTAGGCAACATATCATTCTACAGTATAAAATAAAACAATAAAACAGTATAAGATAACCTATATTTAATATAATCCTATATAACACAATAAATAAAATATAGGCCTACTATCCTGTAGTATTACTATAATAATAACATAATATAATACATTATTATGATAACAGGCCTATGATAAAATTGTATTATATGGTATAATGCCATGATATGATATATATTTTGGTACGCCTTATCATTATCACACTGACCTGCAAATTATTGTCGGTGGATACTGCTGCGCTTCCAGCCTCTGCGAGAAAATGTATAGTTTTTTCTGTGTTGGCAGCCGCCCTCCAGTGTCGGACCAATTGAGGGTAGACTGTGTTGAGTATGAGTGGACACTCGCACTCCCGCATGTCGATCACTTCAAGGATGCTCTCATTATTTCCACCACGGTTTTCAGATGAATCGTCGACACTAATTGAAATTTAAAAGTTATATATACAGTATTGGAGTGAAGATTTAACAAGTTAAAAATAGCTTAGTGGTTAAGATGCTTGCCTTCTAATCCCAGGGTCCTGGATTCAATTCCGGTGACAGCAGAACTTTTTCTCACGACAGCAAATTAAACAACTTCACTCCACCCCTAAGCCTAATAAAGAAACTTCGCTTATTAAAGCATTACGTTAGTTCATGTATTTAAGAGGGCCTTCCTGGTTACGCTGGAATGGTCACCATCTATTAATAGGCCTATGGTAAAAAAATAAATAAATAAAAATAAATTTTAAAAAATATAGATTTGAGGCAGGGAGCCTTTCATGAACCATTCTATATTAACCTACAACAGCTACGCTCCATACCCGAAGTGGAAAATGTCCTTTTCAGCTGTGGACAAATACATTGTTTTCTGTCTCATTTACAAAATCAACTATTTCCTAATGTTCTACTACCAGTATCTTTACCATAAAGGTCTTAAAATTAAAAAACCAATCCAACATATTATGACATAAAGTACTATAGGCCTAATCGCAGGATCTAGAAAATTCTATTGGGGTGAGTTAGGGTGGGGTTCAGTGGAATCTTGCGTTCTCGAAGATGCCTACCTTTATTATCAATACCACTATCAAAGCAGGGAAAGTATTCGGGAAGTTTTTTCTGGCTAAAACATGAAAAAATAACGGGGAAAATAGTGGGGTAAATATCCATGAGAAATATCTGAGATTACAGGAGTAAGTACGGTAGCTAAGTCATAATTATTGTCCAAAGAGCATAGATAAGCACAAAGCTCATATGTATTTATCTGCAATTTTACCAACAATTTATAAAAAAGGCCTATAATAGACCTAGGTGTCACGGTAATTGAAAATTTCTAAGAAGAGAATGATTGTTGAAGCCACGGTGACGGTATTATTCAAAGAAGTAGGCCTAACTATATGTAGGAATCCACAGCGGCTAAAATTCAGTTTCAGTGTCATGATCCCTATTTACACACTATGTTCGATGATAATGTTGTGTTCTCGTGTGAATAACACAAACAAGATCTGTTTTACGTACAGTAGTAATCTCTGTAATATCTCATTCGTACGCCCTAATTTTAGCGTCGTTCTTCGCGAGCGATCGACTTTTAAAACTTTCTCAATTACGCATTTTAGGCTATATATAAATATATATTTATATATATATAGGCCTATATACCTACCTTACCTTCCTTTGATGATTTATATATAATTTAACACTGTTAACTGCTATCTTGATATAGACCTATATATTACTTTTGGCAATACTAGACACCTCTCAAGAGTATATA